CTATTTCTTTATTGATAACTCTTTTCTTAAACATCATTAGAAAAGTTATTTAAGCGAGTTTTATCATCTTAAAGATGGTAAAAAATCGAACATCATCCATCATCCAAACATCCCCTACCCCGCAATATCTCCGCCACCCTCTTCCATCCCTCCTCAACAACCCCCCCAGCCCTCTCCCTCTCCCTCTCCCCCTCTACCTCACCACCACCCTCGCCCCTACCCACCTCAAAAAAATCCCCCCAAAGCCTCAACCCCCACATTCCCCCCACTAAAAACCACCCCAACATCCCACCCCATCTCCCCCCCCTCCCTCTCCACCACCCCCCTAAACCCCTCATCAAACAAAACCGTCGCAAGCCCCACACACGCACTTGGTTCCACCACCACCTTCATCCTCTCAAAAACCAAACGCATCGCCATCCGAATCTGTTCTTCCGACACACTATACATATCCCGCACAAGTCTCCTCTCATAAATAACATCCCAAGGGAGTTTTCCCACGGGAGTACGAAGTCCATCGGCGATCGTGAGCGATTTCACACTCTCGATTCTTTTGCCCTGACGAAATCCACGTTTTCCATCGTCTGCGCCTTGGAATTCTGGTTCTGCGCCAAATACGGAGATTCCGGTGTCTTGGCATGAAAGAGCTACGCCGGATAAAATACCCCCGCCACCACAAGGGGTAATAATGGCATTTAAACCCGCTGCTTGCCTTCCTCTCCTAAGGTACCCCCAATGACACCCCTCTCAAATTGTAATTTCCGTACCTGTTCCTGCAATTCTAAACCCATAGTTCCTTGACCTGCAATAATATCTGGATGATCGTATGGCGGGACGAGTTTCGCGCCTGTTTCTTTGATCACTTCTTCGACCATTGCTTCTCGCTCTACGGATGTTGAACCACTGAAACGTACTTGTGCGCCGTAACCTTTTGTAGCTGCTATTTTTGAGGGGGTGGAAATTGTAGGCATGACGATGTGGGCTGGGATTTTGAGTTCGCGGGCTGCGAGTGCGAGGGCTTGTGCATGGTTTCCTTTTGTCAAAATCGTGTTAGTGTTTGATCTTCACATTGTGTAGGTGTGCGGGTGCGGGGGGAAGTATGAATGATGGGTCTCTCCCCTCCCCAAAACTCGAATAGCTTAACAAGCCAAAAAGAAAAGGTATTAGAAAACAAACCACTACTATGCGTAACCACCCCCTTCTCTCTCCACCCTCCATCCCCATACCCAGCATCCACCCCACCTTCCGCCTCCTCCAACCTCTTCAACGCATGAAAAGCACCGCGAACTTTAAACGCGCCTACTCTCTGCAAATTCTCACATTTAAACCATAACCTTATTTTTGGTTTCGCAGGTTCCTTTCCCTCCCACTCTGTCCCCTTTAACGCCTCTAAGCTCTGCGGCGTACTAGCTATCTCATCAATCGTCCTATTTGTAAGAACCGGGGTGAAATGTATATGCGGCTTAATGAGTTTATGAGCTTCCAAAACCGACTGGTGTGAAAGAGGAAGACGGGTATTGGGATCTGCCATTGTGACTGCTGTTCGAGTCGAAGTGGAGATATGATTGGAATGTTGGAACAAAATGTGAGTCAAGCAAGGGATTGCTAATAATATAACTTGATATGGTGGGGGCGGGGCAGTGATTCATATAAAATAATGAAATCCCGGTTCGGGGTAATCGAGGCCGATGCCGGCGCAAAACTGAAGTATAATCAAAGCAAAACACATGTATAGTCAATCAGATAAAATAATTGGGAATATAATTTTCTGAATTTGATGGCAAAAAACTTTTAGCAATTCGAGATACCGTTGATAATAAGAAACGGAAATTCATGAGTATGATACAATTCGCCCAAATTCAGAAATGATAACTCCAGCCGTAAATTTTTCATTAACTCTCAACTTAGTTGTTTTCAGGACGGAGAGAGCTAATTGCAGAAGTTAGTAAATGTGCGTATGTAGTAATGATGAATAGGACAAACTTACCGAACAGCCTTTCCTGCTCTCCAGATCTCCAAATCACGGATCTCCTTCATCTCAGCCTCATACTTCTCACGGTAATCCTTTTGGGAGTTGAACTCAAGCGATCTTTGTGTCTCCTTTCCGGTCTTTACGGAATCATACAAGTCGTTGAAGACTGGCTTCAAAGCATCCTTGAACTTTCCGGACCAATCGATAGCACCACGACGGGCAGTGGTAGAGCATGCCTCGTACATCCAGTCCATACCATTAGCACCAATCAATGGGTACAAAGATTGGGTAGCCTCCTCAACAGTCTCGTTGAAAGCTTCACTTGGGCTGTGACCTTGCTCACGGAGAACCTCGTATTGTGCGAGGAACATACCGTGGATACCACCCATCAAGCAACCACGCTCACCGTACAAGTCGGAGTAAACCTCCTTCTCGAAGGTGGTCTCGTAAAGGTATCCAGATCCAACACCAACACCGAGAGCAATAGCCTTCTCTTGTGCCTTTCCGGTAACATCTTGGAAAACGGCGATGGAAGAGTTGATACCACGACCCTCACGGAAGAGAGTTCGGACGGTACGTCCAGATCCCTTTGGTGCAACGAGGATAACATCAACATCAGTTGGGACATCGACCTTGGTTTGGTCCTTGAAGACTGGAGAGAAACCGTGGGAGAAGTAAAGAGTCTGCAGAAGTCAGTTTTGAACTTGAAATATTACATGTTTCCATACCTTTCCCTTGGTGATCTGGGGCTTAAGAGCTGGCCAAGTCTCACTTTGAGCAGCATCAGAAAGCAAGTTCATGATGATGGTACCCTTTGAGATAGCCTCATCAACCTCGAAAAGGTTCTTTCCTGGAACCCAGCCATCTTGTTGAGCATCCTTCCATGATTGACCGTTCTTTCGTACACCAACCACAACGTTGAGACCGTTATCGCGCATGTTCAAAGACTGAGCATGACCTTGGGAACCGTAACCAATGATGGCCATTGTGTCATTCTTAAAGTATTCCTAGAAGATAGATATTAGCATAATTTGAATTTAAATAGTGATAAGATATAAATCATACCTGGAGTCTCTCAACTGGCCAGTCGGCTCTCTCTATCATAATTGTTAGTTTCCACGTCACCCGAATTGAAATTTTAATCCATACCGTAAACCTTCTCCTTTGTGCCAGCAAAGTCAATGGTCTTTACACCTCTGACTTGTTGAGATGCGCCAACAACAGCACGAGCAGCAGAAGGTCTAGCTGAGGCATTGATGGCAGATACGAAAGTTCTGCGTGCTGGTGCAGTCAATTGACGTGCAGCTGGTCTAGCGACTCTGGAAAATGTACGGGCAGCCATTTTGAAAGAAGAAGTGAGTGGAGTTTCAAGAAAAGAAAAGAAGAACAAAGGGGTATTTTGAGGTTTAAATCAAAAAGTTGTAGATGTGACTCTTCGTCTTTTTGTTGTGGGCAGCAATAGCCTGGGAAATTTTCTGCCCGGTTCCGGAGGTGCATCTGACAGGGGTATTCTCCAGTATCGCAGCTTTTAGTGGATTAACCTGGACGGAAAGTCTTGGCAAGCCAACAGAGCGGGTTGTATTTCAACATCGGTGTCGATTAGTAAATGTCATCTTAATTTCGTAAATACAATATTGAATATCCTAGGTGTTTATATATATACCCAAATCAGATTCAATGAAGATTTACTATCATCTAAACCTACAAAAATTCTAGATATCCAATGTATCTATTGACATCTCCCACTCGAATATTAAACAAAGATCAATACACATATATTCTAGAACCACACTATGAAATGCCATCCATATAAAGACTCACAAAAGTAAATCTATGCGAAAGGCTATGGATGGTGGAAATTTGGCCACATCACAGCCTCACCCCTCCGGTAATGTACCGGCCGCGGACGAGGCCGTGAAATAGCGTGTAAACAACGTGAATTAGTGACAACTAGAAACTTGCCTCAGCTTGCCTAGTACACCGATACCTAGGTATCTAGGTATATAACGTTAAGAAAGTTGTGGAGATACAAAAGTTAAAGGTACTAAATAGAAAGTTTCCAATTACAAATATTACTTCTTCAGAATGACTCCCTCCAGAAATCGGAGAATGCACAATACTGCTTGTATAGGAGTTGACATCAGATGGCGCCGGAAATGACGCTTTGCTACCCTCGAGGAACCACTGCCTGTAAGGGTTTCCTGCCTTTGCTCGAAACTGAAAAGATCTCTTATTGTTTGTATTTATATTGTATTTACCCAGGTTGACTGCTTCCATCTCCCTCTGGCCCAGACACATCGCGTTCCTTCTACAGCATGCGATACAACACTAATATCAGCAGTAAAAGGTCTGCATGAAAAGCCCTTGATCTCCAAATAAAACAACGCCCATTATGCTCCCGTCCTCATGCTGTGACTTTACATATCGTGCCGTGATGTTAAAAGTGTTGTATCTATCCGGACCATATAACCTTTTCCTCACATCGTAGTATTGTAGCATATGTCCGTTCCATATACCCTCTCCTATCAAACCTTCAACACTCGATCGAAAGTGTCGTTCTTGACCGATCCTCCTCCCATAGCTGATCTCACATTCCGCTTGAATCCTTCTCGGTTTGATCTCAAATCTTCTGCAGCTTCCTTATTTAGGGGATCCGACGCGTTTGGTTCGAGGAAAAGGAACTATTTATCTATGATTAACATATAGTCCTTCGCAAAGTGTTTGTTATATATATCTAGAATAAATAATCCTCATTTAAGCACCATACCTGCAACCCAATAACAATCGCCTGCAAATTCAACACGGGCTTCCAGTCCTCTCTTAGAATATTCAAACAAATTTTGCCTTCCACATCGATATTCGGATGGTAAATCTTCTGTTCACAGTTGACCTTTGGAGGTTCATGCGGGAATGTCTCGGGAACCGCGAATTTAAATTTAAAGATTCCGCCCTTGTACATGCCCTCATCGGGTTCGATGTATAAAAAGAAGTTGAGAATATCGTCTTCATCGGGAAAATCGGTGCGCATAGTAGAGGGTAGCGACATTTCTGCGATATCTGGCAAAACGCAAAGAGCGATGTTAGCTAACATACATGCATGCCCCGTCCCATCTCATCAAATCCCCTCTATTTTTAAAGACTCAAACATTTCTGATCATACCTTTTTGTAACCGGAGCTGTGCGGCCGTGACTTTCTTCTTCTTGATGCCCGCAGCAGCATCGGCATTTGCCTCTTGCTGCTGTTTTTGTTTCTGCGCGTTACATTAGCATATTGAAACTGCAGTACATATTTTCCAGATTCTCAGTTCGTCATACCATCGACCATATTTTTAACATCTTAACAACTAATTAATCGTATGCTAGAGCGTCGAGAGTGCACGATGCTGGAGTTTGGGAGACGGGAAGTATAATGTAGATAATGGGGTACGATATCGAAGTTGAGTCAAAGATACGCAAGCGAAATGTCTGTCTTGTGTCGAACTTAGAAGAACCTGAGGGAGTGAATAGCTTTAGATTTTCGTATATTTTCGTATTAAAATAATAATAGTACGGGATATTATGACATGTCAAATCTATATTGCTCTGTACGGCTATTCCTGTAGGAATTCCTGGTGCCTTTACCGAAACATATGAAACGGCTGGCGGGGTCCGGCTTCTTATCAAAAGCATCACGCGAGGCAAATCGTTCTGCGCCACATTTGAAAAACGTATTCAGATCTCCTCGAAAATTTGTCATTGGGCCTGGTTTGCATATTGGTCTTGCATGAAACATAACGTGTAACTCAAAAATACGAGTGAAAGTTATTCGTCCATAAGGGTATTCAATAGTATTAAATGGAAACGCCTACTCAAACATGCAATATAGAGACCATCCTAAGCAGAAAAAAAAATTCTAGAAGCCCCCATATGTGCAAGTATAAACGCAAAATGGTCGCTTGCTGCAGATTCACTCGCCGTGTCTTTTCCAATGATAGGTGCTCACGCCTCCATACAAAGCGCCCATCCTCCAAATTCCGTTCTTCCTTACCCGTCCCCAATTCATGATAAAAAACCGTGTATCACTCAGAACCTTTTGGTGGTATGAGTAGACATTTTGATTCCTGGGAGTATGTATGGTTGAAGTCTCGTCTAACGTCTCATAAAGCAGCACATGATTCCAGATTTGAACAAGAAGTAAGAACATCCAAGGAATCGAATAAGTGCCAAGAAAGCTGTCGAGTAAAGGAGAACCTCGAAAAACTTGGCAGTTCTTACTGAAGCAGTATCCTGAAGATAATGTTAGCATGAAATTTGAAATACATAGATAAAATAACTCACTCCGAAACCAAAGCCGTCAACACTGTCACTCGTGATGGCAACAGCCAATAAAGCATTCGAAAAGACCCATGAGATCAAAAGCTTCGTTCTGAAAGATTTGTAAGAATCCTCCAAAGTCTTGCTCTCATCTTCGACTACAGGAACAAATGGACTAAGAGCACGCTTGACTGTCGCCTCAAATTGACTGTCAATATCCTCTTGTGGTCTGTCGATTTCTTCAATAACTGCCGCTTTACCATCAACTTTCGTAGTTTTCGCGGATGGCAGAGCTTCTGCCTTGTCAGATCCTTTGGTACCCCAAGAAACATCATGCCAATTACTGAAAGCGTACACCATGAGAATGTTGATGTAAGACGACATGAGCAAGAGGTATGGTCCGAAGGAATGGAACATGTGCCATGGATCCATGTACATGAAGGATGCAACAAAGTACAATCCAAATGTTGCAGCCAAAGCGAGAATAATGATACCAGCTCCAGAACTCGAGCTATTCCCAAAGAAACTCTCGAAGAAATCTTTTGTGTTACTAGTGTCAATACTATCTCCTGACGAGAAAGCACGAACGACCAGATACATGGATAAGACAAGGACATAAAGGTTAATAACACCGAAAACTACAAAGGATACGAGATAGGTGACTTTGGATCCCTTAGGTCTGTTACCAAGCGCTAGAATAAATTGAACGAGCAGGAATCCCAGGTAGAGGTACTTCAAGATTGTGTTGATGATTGGGGTAGCAGTATCACCGAAAGGCCAGCCATGGTGAAGTGCAGTTGTGTCCGAAGCGGGAGTAGGAGTACCGACAAGATCCATGATAACAGTAGTTGTGAGCCAGAAAGAAGACAACATGAACCAACTAAGGAAGTTGGAGAAGACGTTGTATAAGAATTGAATGTGCAAGAAGAACATGCGGACAAGGTTGTGACCACTCTTATACCTATGAAAACGTTAGTTAATGACCCTAAGGTAGACAACAAGTTGACTTACATTCTGCCGAAATGCATGATGGAATACATTCCTGCCGCAAAAGAACCGTTAAGCCATCTTCTACGTTGACCAATAAATTCAGCAGCTCCTTCGGGTACATCAGTCTCTCCTTTAGCTGCTTTGATATAGGTCAAATGCCATTTGCTACCGGCCTTAGCTACAAGTTCGAAACAGAGAATTCTGTCCTCGGCCAAGAACATGTTCTTTTTGAAAATGTTCATTCCCTCGATACCCTTCTTTCCAAGAATCTTAGACAAAGTGTGATCTCCGTGGAAGTACTGCTCAAGGGGTCGTCCCATGATAGCTCGGAATCGATATGCTGAGAAAGCTCCCGGTAACACACTGACATATCCAAAAGAACTTTCTAACGGCTTATCAAGAATATTACTGATCTTGTACTCGAAGTTCTGACCTGCAACAAGGGGATTGAGAAGCTTTTTTCCGCCCTTGCCCAACATTGCGTGAATCTCACCACAAGCACCTCCAAGATCTTTGTCGTTGTAGAAACCTTCCCACAACGATAACAAGGACTTGGGACCTGGCTTGGTACCAGCATCGAGAAGAATACAGACTTCAGGATTGAGAAGGCGACCAAATGCATTGAACAACCATCTATGAGAATTGATCTTTTTCGTGTTCTTTGCTTTCAAGCAAAACATCATTTGCACTGGCGGGAGACAGTTGGCATCACCTTCGGTTGGGCGGATAAGTTGCTGACTGGCAGTAACTGAAAGTTGAGTTGTGTATTCAAAAACATGAGCAACAGTCTCCTTTCCATCAACATCCTTCTTCATGACACCATCTTGGTAGATACCAATTGTGGCAAGAACATCAAGCGTATCTTTGTCGCAAGGGTCGATACCATCGAAGACGAGGCAGACGACGATCTTTTGCCATGCTGGTCCACCGACATTCCAGAAATCAGATTTTTTGAGATTGACGATATCGCGGATGTTTTGCATAACACCGTGAAGGGTACGGGCGGTCAACTGCTTGTCTTCGTTATAGTAAGTGACGGCGATGAGCAACTCAGTATGACGATTGTACATTGCAGGTCTTAGATTGTAACCGTTCTTCAGTGTAAACTCGTCAGGATCGCAAGTTGCAGCGGTATAACGCATATGTGTGAATTCTTCGCTGCCACCCTCTAAGTCATTTCGGTATTTTTGCTGGATAGCATTTTTGATGGCACTGGGTACTGGATGGTCGACGCTCAAGACGCTTCCCTGTACAAGCTTGACCTTTCTTGTAGCGTAACGTTTGAGTCCACCAGCTTGAGGAGCTTGTCGTTGTCTCCATGCCTCCGTGGAAGAAGTCTCGGCTCGGGACAATGGTGAATTAGTTCGTGGGTATGGGTTATCTTCTAATTGCTCATTGTATGTGTGGGAGGAACTATAATCGCTGCTGTATGGCTGTGGGTCGTTCGCATACGTTTCCGTAAGACTGTAGGCGGAAACAGGTCTAACAGGAGGAGTATTCGCCCGCAGACCTCCCTGAGCGTGCGAATCGTAAGGACTATTGAATGGGCCGCCATGTCCACCAGAATCGAGTAAAGGTAAAGCTCCTTCCTCTTCATCTTGAGGATGATGATACTGTAACAGAGACGGTTAGAAAAGGCTATTTCGCAATCTGCAAAGTCGGGAAATTAAAAAACTTACACTACCCCCGGGTGGAAGATCTTGGAGCTTATGCTCATCATAGCCTCCGTTGCCAGAGTAAGCCATGTTTGTGGAAATAATCAAGAACTCTTTATGAAGTGATCAAAACTATTAAACTTTCGAATTTGTAGAGATAAAATCTTTGTGATTTTATCGATAGAAAGTTGATGGATGAGGAATGTATCGAAAGAAAATTGTTGGTTGTTCAAGATTCTGATTCTGAGCTATATTCTTTGTAGGGCGGTGGGATTCAGGGACGGTCAGATAAGTTGAAATCGCCCTCGCCTTGGCAGCCCAAATCAAAGAGTGAATGAGGTTCAACTCGAAATTGCGTGTGATTGATTCACAAGCAAATCAAGAATAAAAGAATAAAAAGTGCTTAGTTTTGAAGAGGGAAAAAAAGAGAATGATGGAGGAATCTTTCAAGATATGAAGATATGAAGATGTGATGAAAGGTAATAGAAAAGTAACCCTGTTTCACTTTTCAGAAGAAGGGCAATAAAAAAAAGGAGGGATGGATGGATTCCTTATTTTAGTTTGTTGTCTCGTCCCCGCTATTTTCAACCCTTCAATATTTGGATTTTGGTATTCAGAACCTGGAAGATCAATCTTTACCGATAAATTGGAAAAGAATAGAGAAATTGAGACGAAGAGAAGATTGGATTCACGATAAAAATAAAAATAAAGTCTGTGAATTGTTCATATTGGGTATTGGAGTGGTTGTATATTGTATCAATTTGTGCGAATGAATATTTTGCTGTGCCTCACTTCAAAGTATCACCTACTATTAGTCCTACTCGTTATTGGTTCGAATGGTAAATTCGTATGCATGAATATATTGCTGCGGTCTCTTTTGCTATCATTCAATATTCATTATCTCTGTAAGCTCATATCTGTCGCATACATACCTACTGAAGGTATCAAGAGGCCACTATGGATCTTGTCGAAACTCTGTTGGTCTCTCCCAAGGTTCCCTTTGTCGCTCACAATTCCCTACAGCAGAAACACTTCATCACGGTCCATATGATGTGTGTTGTTAGATACATCGAAAGTCGCGTCTACTAAGACTAGATAACCTACACAATACAGGCCTAACTCCTTGTATACGAATCTTATATCTTATAGTCGGGTAATCATTTGACAACTCGACAGATCATTGGTTATTATTGCCTTTATGTTTCAGCTCTTACATTATATATAGCTCACCTGCCTGTGAAACGATGAATCAACCATATCACAAGCGTCGTGCAACATCGTATAATGTAAACAACTTTTCTGGTAGGGAAGGCTGGCGATCGTTCACACACCAAAAGTCTTGCTGCTTAACTTCACGACGCGTTGTTCTTCCAACAATCAATCACCGCTATTTATCTGCCATCCAAACAAACAAGTCGTTGGCAGCGTCTGACAAAGTTCAGCGCCACGGTTACGGCCACAAGCCGAAGGTTTGTTCTATCTATTAATAGAGTCCACGCTATCCTACAAGGGGCTAATGCAATGGGGTAAAAATATCGTGTGGACCAAGGAAAGTTCCTGAAATTATGATCTTGTGGACATGAATCTCTAAGAAGAAAAAGAAGGATATGAATACTCGTAGGCTTCTCTAGCTCCTCTCCACCGCGCCCCACTTCCGACCATCATCAACCAAGTACGGAGGAGGACCCTTTAATAAGTCACGCTCTCCAATTTTATCATTATAAGTTGCCTTATAGAAGCAGCAAATCAGTAAATTACTGATCCTCGATCAGTAAATCTCTTCTTTTTGAGATTGTAGCTTGTTCAATCCATAAAACGAGATTTTAGTATACAACGAGATTTAGTATAAATAACTTCCATATTAGTTTGAATAGTTAATGATTAAATTATAATTCTTCAATATACTTTTCAATTTCAGAAATTTAAATATATTTTCCCTCTTTATGTTACGAGGTTTGCCGTCTAGACCACGTGGAAGTGCTCTAGGCTCTCGAAGTGGTTTATGTTACGTCGGACTTCACATTACTGAACATCACGTGCTTAGAATCATGTGATATGAGGATCCCAGTGGGCTCAGCAGTCCCAGTAGCACTGGGACAACTGGGAGCACTGGGACGCATGCCACAAAGGTCTATATAATCAAGATGGATTTCCTTTGTATAGAGCTTCGTGCTCAAGATCAATCATTTAGTATACTCTACTACTAGTTACGAATTGCATATCATCATTGTCATTACTTAAGTCCTGTAACGATACTGTACTGGAGACAGCGGCTGCCTGAGGTTCGTCAGTTGGTAGTTATGGGTTAAGGCTCTATCACTGGTATTCACTTGGAAGTGAAGTCGTTACTAGATCAAGTAGAATGTAGGTAAACTAATTGATAACTAAGTTGAGCACGAAGCTCCTAAACTATGAAACTACTCTGACTATATAATGAACGATAAAGGGAGCCCCTAGGAGCTTTGAGGGCTCCTAGGGCTCCTTATCACGTGATTTTTGATGGTGCGTGCGCATACGATCTTCAGGTGACCAAGATCACATACTAATTCGATGAAATCTGATCGTGTTTGCACAAGGCCTAAGCTCTCCTAATTAATCAGTTTGCTACCATCGTAACACCATCAATCCTAATGGTGAATCATGACAACTATGTCATCTGGTTCTCAGCTGATCGTTCACAGGATATTTCATCAAATTATAATATATTCCATAAAGTTATGACGATTCATTGAAGGACCTAGATTGGAGGTCTGAGGTGTAGCAGCGGGGCAGGGCGGGGCCCAAGATGGAAGGGTGGTTCGCTGTACTCGCACTCACTTACTCAGTGCATGGTATCTGAAAGTTGACAACAGCTTCATCCCATGTGTACTGACTGATTTCTATCTCATTCATGATGGCTCATCCTTAGATATAAAGTCCAAACATCTCCAAAGAGCGGACGCGGGGGTAGGACTAAAGAGCTACTCAACGGGAACTAAATTCAGGGGGAAGCATGGCCTGGGTATATGACGCAGGCTTTTCTTCCGTTTAAGTCGACTGAATATTCTGCTGTTGATCGATATACTGCAGATTACTGGAGTATGTGAATGTTCTTATTATTTGATCAGGAAACCTTTTTGTCTTCTACATCTTGGGAAATTCCTCAAAATGACAGACTGATTGCTGTTGTTCTTAGCTCTTCAACTTTTCGCTATGAGTCTGTTGGTAAGATTACTTTTGCCGAAGCACACTCCTAATTTCTGAAACATCTACTAGTTGCTTCAAATTCCAAAGGATATAGTCATCATTCCAATTCCACACAAATTCATAGAATTTGCCGAAGTTTCAACATATGAATGAGTGACTCCATGATGCATCTACCTAATCTATTCATTCGAGACTTATATTGCGTCTGTGGTGTTTCGTTCACCCACACAAACCTCAAAATTTGTTATGTTTGATGTTCCAGAGCTATGGATCCACAATACCAGGACGTAGGCTTGCGAGTGGTTAAATTCCACATAATCTGCCAACTGATATGGATTTTCACTGATCAAATGCCATTTCAATATAATATACTTGTCGCTACAACGTATCAGAACAGTACACAAGCACCTATTCAGTATTATCAGACCGAAGGGTAGGTACATTTCGATCGTCATTGATCATACATAATTGATGCGATACAATGCGGCGAAACGGTAAAAGCAATCGACTCTACGGACTAGGCCTAGATGGGTGGATGTTAGATGGCGCAGCAGTCATGGATTATGAATGAGAAATGAGAATGTTAGCATTGCTCATTGCTCAATCCAATAAGCGAAGGAGAGGTGAGATGTGCTCTTTTCTTCAAAACCAATGCAATAAGTGTTCCAAATAGATGATGTAGATGAGAAAATTATGAAATTGAATCAATATCAAGTCTTATAAGGTCTTCTATTTGCCAATTTGGAAGGTCTTTGCATAAAATACTGGAGATTAGTTGTTCCCACTTAACTGTGAGAACTCCCGCGTACCTTACCTAGGTGTGTAGGTACGTACTATACGGAGTAAGCACAGGACATTCGACGTGATCCACACAACCCCACCGAGCCAATTGAACAACCAATTATTGTCCAGCAACTCTCTACCAAAAGTAAATTAGGTCCAATTTATTTCGCTATTCTCGCCCCCAACAGCCCAATCCACAGAATTTGTTTGTTTGCTTCCACCCATTCCTAACCAATTCCTAACCATTACTTGCTACCTACCTACCTAGGTAATGAAAGATTGATCTCCATCAATTCAACCCTTCTCATCTAAACCACCACTCATCACTCATTCATCGCAAATGATCATCACGACTACCAGTACGACCGTCCAATTCCTCTTGTCGTCGGTCTAGATTCCAAGTCGTCCATGTAAATGTAGTCGTTATCGACCATATTTTCGACCGCTGTAACAAGAGTTCGCTCAACCAACACTCGTTTACCTTACCTTCGACCTTCATATCGCGACGTATCTTATCTCGTCTTTCTCCTTCAGTGCCGACGACAACGTAGTGAATCCGATCATTCCATCTTACCTTTTACGATTTTTTATTATATCTCTTTTATAACCTATACCCACTTCGATTTTTTTTTTTTAAACAATCACGTTCCTAGAGCCGGTTCTCCTCTGTTGTCCTTAACTACCAACTACCGACAGGTCAAGCCTTCAATCACCAACAATACTCATCTACATCTACCTCATTTTACATCAACTAAACCTGACCGGATCAGTCTCAATCATTTTGACACAACATAATAAATCACAATAGACCGAGTGAAATGGCGTATTACGAGTGTGGGTGAAGTTTCTCGGGGAGTAACAATCAGTTGCTAATCAATTCACAGCATCCTTCAACTCTCTGTTTCGACGATGTGTTGAGTGTAATGGGGACACTCCCGCATGTCCGGACTGTGCTGCAAAATGAGATTTGTTCGCTCGTCCCACCAACATGTAGCGAATGCCAACAGACAGTTTGTGTGGCTTCTTCAGCTGCACCTTCGACGACGGTTAGTTCATCCTCATCATCGAAATCCGGCCCAAATGTAGGCGCTATCGCGGGAGGAGTTATTGGAGGAGTTTTAGCTGTCGCGGCCGTGACTTATCTTGTATGGAGGTTCTGCATCAAGACGAAAAGGCAACAATTCGAGCAGGGCGCTTGGATAGATAACCAAGAGCAAGCGAATGCAGAAAAGGATTTCGTCATGCGGAGGGACGCAAGAGCTTCTACACATACTGTTGGATCAATTGCATCTACAGTTCTCACGCGAGCCTCGAATATCATTCAAATCGCATACATTCCAGGTGTTACGAACAGATCGACCCCGTCAACACCGGGTCTTCTTGTCCCACCAGTTCCTCCGATTCCCATTGCTTTATCAAATTCATCTGGAACACCAAGATACGAACAGGAACACTTTTTCATGCCAGGAGATCTACGCGACTCAACATACAGCGGAATTAGTGCAATTGGTGAACGAAACTCGTACGCAAGAAATAGTGTTGCATCCACTATATATGGAAAACAAGCTATCGTATCACCAGTTCCAGCGCAAACGGTTATCCGAGGAAAAGCAGCAGTAGTCAGTGTTAATAAGGCAGGTGGAAATAATGGCACTATCACACCTCCAGTGCCAAGTGTCGACTTTCAAAAATATTCCGAGAACCCACCTAGCCCAGCATTTTCCGTGGGCAGCACATTCTTGAACGCAGCCAGTGCCGCAACCATGGCCAAACCTCAAGTCATTCGAGTAGATTCTAGCTCACCGAAAAGCAAATACACTGAGCCTCCAAAAGTTGTAGTAGCCTCATCACCACTAAGTTCGCGGGATTCCACTGCAGTCACTTTAATCGAAGACGGTACCCCCATCACACCCCAAGGACCTTTTAGTGATCCTCCTGAAATAAGTCGAAAATCCAATGCTACTTTATCAGCTATGATTCAAAACGCAACAAGGAAGGCACAGGGTGATGTCTTCTCAGACAAACATGAAGTCAAGGAATAAAGGGGTTCTATCTCGCTGGATATATTCTCTTTGGAAGCGGATTTTCGGCATTGGAGGTTTTCGTCTAGTTACGATTTGGTTTACTTGTTTCTTTCAAACATTTTATACTTGGAGGAGGGGGTTATGCCCATTTCGATGGTCACAATGTGGTCGGGGGTGTTAAGGGGTTTCTCATGATTGGCAATGATTTTTTTTTCTTGGGATATGTTTTTATACCACCGTATCTTGCTATCTACCTAATTTAGGTTTCTATAGAAAATGTCAAATCCAACGATTTTAGCTATAAATTAATGGGGAACTTCGAAGAATGGATCGCTGCTTGGGCTAGAATGAGGTTTTCATGTGCAAGTGCGTTATTGTGTATGCGTGTGATATCATAGGTATATACTACTTCAACGATGAAGAGTGTTTAGACTTTGGGGTCGAGTGATAAGGTGGTGTGACACAGCATAAAGAGGAAGAAAATGAGCCGCGGAATTCCTCAATGAAGTCCTTGGCAGCTAACCAGGCAGATGATTACTAGAGTGAAAGGGAAGTTGGGCTTGTGTTTTCGCAA